TACAATCCCGTGATCTTCCCAAGACCTGGAGCCTCGCGGGTACCCCTTCAATGTCCAGAAACCTGTGAGCAGTAATAGTTTCAAAGGGAATAATCATAACAATAGTAATAACCTTAATAATACTGGTAGTAAGCTTCACCTCCGTATGGCTTCTTTTAAAGCTTTAAGATGTTTCCTGCTTCGATGTGTCCCCGAGTGATGAGATGATAACCTACATGTAACCCTAAACCATAAACCCTAAAGCCTAAACCTTAAACCCTAAACCTCTAAACCAACTAGAGGCCGCCTTAAGTGCCGTGACGTATAATGATAGGTCGTAGTATAGAATACTTCAAATACAACTCAAATTAATACTGGCAATGATTCAGGCTCCTACACTACCGCCCTCAGAGGTTGTAGTTAGTTTTGTAGCTCTGTATGCGCCCTGGTGGGTGCTGTTGGTTGCAGGCTGTCCCACTCCAGACAGCCTCACATGTCCCGTCACCCTGCCTTGCTTTGTGCCACGCAAGAGGGAAACCCCGGTAAACTCCCTGTGGAAAGTACCCTTCATTCCCGAAATCTTCTGAAACTGCTGGACCACCTGAAGACCCTAAACCTCCCTCAGCCCCCTCAAGCTCAAAAACCTGAAGGCCATTCATCGTTCTGTCACCGAACCACCGCGCCGTAGTTTCCGGACAGAGTTGGTAAACACCGCTAGGCATGGCGTTAGGGTTCAGGTTCAGGCTCGGGTTTTGGCAGTGTATGGGACTTGATGTTCTGCAGAAGGCCGAAGCATGCCCTTGGCATCAGGGCACTGGCGATCACATGGTTAAGACATGCAAGTTGATATACAAGCCATTGTGGAATGAAGAGCTTCTGTTTCAAACTTCTTCACACAAAGGAAGACGGGATCTTTTGCCAAGGATTTTCTCGTTCTGCTGCTAAGCCAAATGATCAGAGAGATGTCACATATAATAACCGTGGAGGGCTCCTAAAGGGCCCTTCGGCCCTCTTTCTGAGAATGCCCACTTCAGCTAGGACTTGAGTGATTGAGATTTTTAGGCTTGTGGCTGTCATTAGCGTTGCAAGCAGAATGCCTGCGTTTGGGCTTGTGTTTGCGGCCTCTGCTGTCACTACATACCTAGACTGGACCCTAGACCCTGAATCATGGAAGTCTCAGAACTAGTCAGAGCCCACATCCCCAGAAGTCTAAGATCAAGAAGCCTGCATCCATGAAGCCTTGATGCCCCGCCATCCTGGAAATTCCTTAGCTTCAGACCCTGCGGGTTTAGGGTTTTAGGCTATTTTAGGGAACCCTACATCCTGCTACCTAAGCCCTAAACCCCCTAAACCCGTGAAGCGCAGTTGAATCTGAGGCGCGGTCCGGCGCTGAAGTGTGACATCGTGGGATTGCTCCATGCCTGCCTAGGCGTTATGAGGGGTTATATTGGGATGATGGAAAATAAAAGGGAAACGATTGTAATATAAGCGTTACATAGGCGTTACAAAGAATGAGGGTGTGAGGGAACAAAGCCGACAGAGGCCTTTATACTTTGATTCAGGACTTTACGCACCTCCCCCTAATATTAACCCCCC